AAAACCATTGAAAGCTTAGCCTTTTCAGATTGGCTAGAAACTGTGATCCTACATTTTGAATTGTCTTTCTTAACAATCATTGGTACAGCTTTCAGTAAGTAGAGTCAGGAGGGTCTTCATTGGTCCAACAAGTTTCTATGCACTAAATGCTAATGGAAAAAGATAAGAGTGGAAAGTCTTTTGAGTTGTGTTTGATCGGCTTTATGTGAAAGTTTCACTAAGAGATATTTTCCGAGATTATCTTAGCTATTGTCTTTATACCTTAGGGCCTGGTTGATGTGTTGCTGTGAGTCTTTGTGAGCCCAGCTCCACCTGGGTCACATTCTCTATGCTCAAGGACAGGGAATAATAACTCCAATATTATTTCTAAATCATGATTCAACATAACTCCGTTCTGCCTCTGTCTTCACGCAGCCTGCTTCCCTCTTTGTGTGTCTTCCCGTGATGTTTTTCTCTCTGTGTGTGTCTGCGTCTCTTCTGTTTTTAGAAAGACTCCATTCATATCGGATTAGGACTCACCCTCACCCAGAATTTTAGCTAATTACATCTGCAAAGTCCTATTTCTCTGGAACTTTATCCCTCAAAACCTCAGAAGGAATCACCATGGCTGACACCCTGATCTCGGACTCTCAGCTTCCTGAGCTGCAAGACAATACATTTCCGTTGGTTAAAGCCACCCACTTTGTGGTATTTTGTAATGGCAGCCGCAAGAAACTAACACAGGGTCGTAGGTGGCCGGGGTCTGGAGAGCAAGCAGCTCCATGGCTGCTTTCTGCCTTTGTTGCTTCCTGTCTGTGGCGGGGCCAGCTCAGTCCTGCAACGTGGCTTTAGGAATAGTTCCGGGAAGTTCAGCCCAGATCGGCGCTTCTTGAGACCTCCCAATGGTTGTGACACTCCTTGGGTGTCCTGTAATAAATTCAGTTCAGGTTTAACTCATGAGAGTGGATTCTGTTGTATGCAATGGAACCCTCACTGACTAATAGGTGTGGAGTCCCCATTTTTTCTGGTATGTTGAGGTCATGCCTTCTTATTTCAGAGATATTACAGATCTGTTATTTTAAGGGTGTTTGGTTCCATCATTGCTGATGAGCATTGCTGGTACAGTGGTAGAACCGTGTGCCAGCCAGCCATTTCAATTCAATTTTCCTAGCAATAATTAATTTTTCTCAGAGACAAGAGTCTAATAATATTGTGCAGCAAGGGATATTTCTACTCCTAAAAGGCTTTGGTCTAATTCTCTTTCAGCGTAATGGATGGTGGGGAGAAAGATATCTGCCTTCGAGTCGACTCTGCCTCATGGTGCTCTTATGTACAGCAGAACAAAACATTGCCCGGTCCTGTGCCATCCTCATGATAGCTGGCATGTTCAAGTCCATTGTTGCGGCTACTGACTGTGTCAGTCCCACTCACCGAGGGTCTCCCTCGTCATTGCTGCCACTCCACTTTACCAAACACGATGCCCTCCTTCAGTGATGGTGTCCTGATGACATATCCGAAGCAAGCAAGTGGGGCAGTGTTCTGTTGTGATCCATAAGGTTTTCATTGGCTAATTTTTAGAAGTAGATCACCAGGCCTTTCTTCCTAGTCTGTCTTGATCTGGAAGCTCTGCTGAAACCTGTCCACCTTTGGTGACCCTGGTGGTATTTGAAGTACTGGTGGCATAGCTGTCAACATCGTAGCGACATGCAAGCCGCCACCGTATGCCAAACTGACAGCTGGGTGGTGGTAATAGATAGTACCCCTCCTTTATTTTGCTAAGAAACATTTAGCTGGTCCTTTCCATTGTAATGGAGCCCTGGTGGTGCAGTGGTTAAGAGCTTGGCTG